CTCCGTCCCTCTCCCCTATCTCCGCTCCACTACTCTTGCAATCCATCCTTCTCTCTCCCCTCCCACCCAATCTGTGCAAAATGTTGTGATCCGTCTCCTAACATCTCCTACTTGTTTAAAGAAATCTAACTATGCTTTTGTGTCTAGCCACCTTTGTATGAGTTCGAAATGTACTTGCTGCTGAATCTGTTCGGTGATTTCTGGCTCCTCTACTCTCACCTTTTCCATAGCCAGCGTGCATCTTTGCAACCAAAGTGCCCATATCACCGCTCTCCTTCCAAGTCTGTACATTTTCTCTACGAAGGTCATGACTGTTTCTGCCTTTGGCCAATGGCCGACCAATATGGCTTGCCAAGACCAGGGTCAGGGAATTGCAGATTCCATCTTTCTCCATATGCAATCCCGCCAACTCCATATAAATTGGGCGATCGGGCATTGCATAAAGATGTGTTCGATGGTTTCCGCCTTCTTGTAGAAAGGGAAAAAACTCTGACACCGTTGGCACCACGGAAGCAACAAACCTTTTTATTCTAAATTGGTACGGTCGGTCGACCAGTCATTTGTTGGCAGACAGCGGTGGGCGATCTGCCACTGCAGGGAAGTGATTTTTATAGGTTTTGTTTTCTGTTCTTGGAACCATTTTATTAAAGTCAGAAGGGAGCGATCCACATTTAGGTGTCTGGCCCATCGGTCGTTTACTATGTCTCTCAGCCATCTTTTAGGTTTAAGCATTTTATAGGCTGATTTGACCGATAACTGGTGTAGGCTGATATGACCTGCTTTGGGGCCTCCCCTCTGCTGGGGGGGTTCCCATGTTCATTCTGGTGGGTCCAGAGCCAGGTCCTGGATTGATTTGAAGGGCTGGATCACCACCCTTTGTCCTTTCTCTTCTAAAACTCTCACTCGATACACAAATGCTCCCTCTTTCCATTCGAGGGGGGCTCTGCTACCTTGGAGGGTGTCAGTTCCAGTGATTGTGTAGTGTTCAACCAGGACAGTCTGAGGTGAAACCATGTGTATCTGACCTATCTTTTGAGGAGACTCCGTACTTGCTACCCAGTCGCCTTCTTTTAAGGAGGGGCCTTGTTTAAGGATTTGGTACCATGCCAACGGGATAGCTTCAATCAACTTATCCAAATGCTCTTCTACGTGGTGGCAATATCGTAGAATTCCTCGCATCTGGTCTCCTGTTTTTCAGTCCCTTCTGTCATGGTCCCAATATCCCCAACCTTATGCACCCCTCTCTTTACCCAGCTTTTCCAAGGCAACTCTAAGCTTATCATGATACAACCACTCCAGTTCGTCACCCATCGGTTTCCAAAAGGGGGTTGTCAGTAGACTTCCTCCCAGCAGTTAGGATAGATTCTGTCTGGGAGCGAGAGTCTGCGTCAGGTCTCCAACAAGGATGATCAGAAGTTGTCCAAAATCTGGTCGCCTTCGTCCAACCCCTCCCTTCCTCGGGGGAGTTTGCGCGGGACTGTCCATAATCGGTCCTCCAGCCATATCAGCGGGGGGCTTCTGGGGCCAGACGGGCTAGATGTTCCAGAGCCAATGCACACCACGGACACTTGGGGGGCGAAAATGAGTTTTTAATCCATTTTGGTTCTAGTGTTTGCACTTGCGTGGCTGGGTCGATTATTCCCAAGCCTCCCCCTGCCTTAGGTTGGATAATAGACTCCCACGCCACGCGGCTGATCACGTTGTTCTGCTCGCCGTCCCCTCTCCATAGGAAAGTTGTTGCCTTTCTCTTTAAGCTTCTTAAGACTGTTTTGCTTAGTGGCCACAACAACGATGTGTACCATAATGTTGCGAAGACCACATTGTTAATTACTAAGGCACGGCCAAAGAGGGATGTGTGCTTATTTCTCCAGTTATCTATTTTTTGTCGTGTCGGGGCGCTAGTCCATTCATCGTTGATTGGTGGGCGTCCCTCGGTGGTCATGGAAACCCCTAGAATTCTTACCGGGGTCTCTAAAGGCATTTATTTGATACGTGGTAACTCCGGGGGGCGTCCCCCTTGATAATGAATCCACCATCCTTGAATTTTGCTCCCCCAGTTGACTGTCTTGTCGAAAACCTTGACAAACTTGTCCATCATTTGTTGGATTTCCTCCATGTTGTTGTGAGTGGCTTCTGCCAAGATAGTGAGATCGTCCGCAAAAAGGGAGCACGCCAGGATTGCCTCCTCCTGGATGTGTGTGACTCGGATTCTGGTAATGTTCTTGTTTGCCCGGAGGTGGCGGCTAGTGCTTTCATGATGACCAAAAAAAGGAAGGGGGCAATTGGGTCCCCGTGGCGGACCGAACATTCCAGGCGTAGGGGTGGTGCCATGCACCCATTAACTTGAATGCAAGTGGTTGCATTCTGGTGCAGGATCTGAACCCAGCGTATGAAGTCCGATCCAAAATTCATTTTTCCAGGCTTTTATCTAAGAATAATCAGTCCACGTGATCGTAAGCTTTTTCGAAGTCAATAAAGACCAACGTTGCGTTCTGACGAGAGTGTCTCGTGAGTTGGGTACCTCATGGATTAAAAGAATATTCTCTTGTATATTCTTGTTCTCCATAAAGCCGGTTTGAGAGAGATGAATTATGTTTTTCATTACAGGGATCATTTTGTTAGCTAAGGCTTTAGACAACATTTTGTATATCACTGTGAGAAGTGTGATAGGGTGGTAGTTTCTAGTATCTATTTTCCCCCCCTTTTTATATAGGAGAGTCAATACTCCTTGCCCCACCCTTTCACCCATCTCGCCCGTGAGCCATACTTCTTTATAGAAGTCCATGATGTCCTGACCCAGGAAGTCTCATGTGGTCTCCCAAAATTCTTTGGGGAAACCATCAATCCCTGATGCGTTTTCCTCCTTCATTTGTAGGAGTGCGGTCCAGATTTCCTGCTTGGAGATTGGGGCCTCTAAAGAATCACGTTGTTCAGATGTCAATGATTTATTTACTGGTTCCAAAAATTATTTTAGTTAACAATCGTGGTACAATGAGTTTGATCTGTCAACATGCGAGGCGAAAAGTTTATTTTAGAAGTCATATTTTATTTTGGTGCAACGAGCCGTGGACACAGTCGGATCTGATTCCATGACTTGTGGTTCGTAGAGCGCCTCGATCATTGCCCTTTTGAAACGTGGCCTAGATAGGCTGAAGAAGTGAGCATTCATCACTCCTTGGGTTGAGAGTCTGGATAGCCTTGCCCTTATCTGGGCTCCCTGCCATCGATATTGTGCATGCTTCAAGAGTCGGGCGTTTACCGTAATTTCTTGTTGGTATCGCTGTGCAGCTATATATTTGGAATATTTATTGCATTTTTTTGCCAAAAAAAACAATCCGTTATTAAACCATGCAATTTGAGTGTCTTGTAGGGAGCGGTGACCCTTCCAGAAGTTCCAAACCTGATGTAGGTACTTCAGGAAGGATTTAGACTGGAGCAGGGAGGTGTTCAGTTTATAGTAGCTGGCCCCCTGATCTGGTCGTTTCCGGAAGGTTTAGACTGCCATACACATCCTGTGGTCCAGGCCTGGGTGCGGGCTGATCGCCAGTATTGCTGCTAAGGTAAACCCTCCAACCAAGTCTTCGGACGCCAGGATTGGATCTATTTTAGATTTTGACAGCCTGTCGGGGTTATTGTTTCGAAAACAAGTAAAGGCCTTTTCGGTCGGGTGGCTACGCCTGAAGGTGTTAAAAAGTGAGAGGGGGGTACACAAATCCCTCAGCATTCTGAGGCGCGGTTGTAAGTGGAACTAACTCCCCCTCCCTACCACCCCCCTCCCCCCGCCCCTCCCTCCCATCCGCACGGTCCTACATCAGAGCTAGGAGGTCTCGAAGTGCATCCCGCAACGAGTCCGCGTCCACGTTCGTGCTCTGTCGCCGCCCGCCCGTGCCGTTCCCCACGATGCCCAAGTCCACTCTACGCTGAACGCCGTTTGCATCCACCTCCCACAAAAGGTTCTCGTCGAAGTCGATCCCCGCGTCGAGGAGGATGTTGTGGAGAGTGCACACGGCCACGAATTGTTATGGCAAGGTCTCCAGGTTCGTCTTGTGGGTGCGCAAGAACAGACGCCACATGCACTTCAGTCACCCGAATGCCCTCTCCACACACCCTCCCGCCACCTTCTGCCGCATGTCGAAGCGCTCCTCGTTAGGACCTTGGTCGATTCCTCCGTACGGCTGCACGATCCATGGACAGGCAACTGGATAACCGTTGTCGCCCAGCAGGTAACCTCGTGTGACGACACCATGCGGCATATTCTCCGGAGGTGCGTCGAACAACTCGCCAGTTCTTGCACGCCTCCACAGCTGGGAATTGTGCAAGACACGGACATCGTGCACACTTCCCGGGTATCCGATGTGGACGTCGAGGATCCGCAGATCCAAATCCAGCACCACCTTCGCCTGCACGGAGAACTTCTGTTTTCGGTCGTAGAAGTTGGCCGAAGGTGCGCCGACGGGCTTGTCAATGTCGATGTGTGTACAGTCGATTGCGCTGAAGCAGTTTGGGAAACCCTTCTCACAGAAAGCGCGCAGAATCTGCGCACGTCTACGGCCCACTGGCCACTTTATCGCGTCGGGGTACGCCTGCAGCAGCGCCGAACTAACGTCGCGGATGACCTGCAGTCCAGTTGCCTTGCCGATGCCGACGGCTGACGTGCCCCTCTCGTACGTCTCTCCGGACGCCCACCTGTACAACGAGAAAGCGATCACCTGCTCCACTGGCAATGGCATCCTATAATGCGTGACCTTCTTCTCCACGTATGCGGCTACGATCTAGGTGAACATGGCCATCGACATGCGCAACTTCTGCCAATAGTACTCGTTCGTCGCGTCATCACACAAGCGGAGGTCCTCCCATGTTCCGCCAGTCCGTCGTCTAATCCACCAACGTGGGGTCTGCCGCGGGAAAACGCCAGACGACAGCGTGGCACACAACTCGACGACTGCCTCATGCAATCCGGCGCTTCGGCAATGCTCTGCAACAACATTCTTCGTTTGCAGAGCTGCATCACCATGTCGCGTGAGGATGACGACATGTCGCTCATCGTGTTGACGACGATGGCAGTCACCGCCATCGCTACCTCGTCGATCTCTTCTTCGCGTAGACCGTGCCCGCAGCCGCGAACGTCCATCTCTTACAATCGTTCCGCGTCTACAGCGTAACGCCTACCACAGCCGCCGAAGACACGCCCGCTGCTCAACCCTACCGCAGGAGACCACGCACGCCGGAACTGAAGATGCGCCCGCTGCTGTACGCTGCCACAGGAGATGACGCACGCCGAAGCCGAAGACGCGCCCGTTGCTCTACGCTTCCACAGGACAGTACACACTCCGGAGGTGAAGATGCGCCTTGCAGGAAGATGCGCCCGCTGCTCACAACTTGCGTAGACTCGAAAGATGGATACCCACGCCGAACGGTTCGCTAGCCTGAGCACCGTCTTTTCTACGTCACACTTGTCGCCTGGCCGTCCTCTGCCCCCCCCACCCTGCGTCTACGAAAATTCGAATTTCAATTTAATTTTCGAAGTTCTGGGTGACCACGCTTTTCACCGACCCGTCCTCATCCGCCCAAGGGCCACCGCAGTGTGTACCACGGACACCAACCAAGAATGGACGGACATCGGCGACGCGGCTGCGTATACGCATATGAAAACCGGCCGCGGGAGATCTTTTAGGACGAATCCTAAAATATGATTTCTAGGATTGCGTGTAACGACGCCACACGAAATCCTAAAAAACATTTAGGACTCGTCCTAAAAATTTTAGGATTCTTTTAGGAGTATCTAACAAGACCCTTAGTACAGACTGTGGTTGGTGTGGTAGGTTTCTTGGGGCAAGATTAGAGTAGGGGGACCTGTTGCTAGTTGGAGATTTTGGGGGGTCAGCCAGTAGGCACGGGAGGGTAACAATGAGGGCTCCCCTTAGGACATCTTGCCCATGGAATAAGAAATAGTTGATGAAAGGAGACTTTTTTTTTTCTTTTTTTTTTTTCTTAAGCAAATGCTCCAATCTATTCGTGGGGAGCAGCAAGTGCCCAGCGTCCCATATCAAATTGTACAGATCATTGAAAACATTTGAGAACATTTGAGATCATTTGAGATACCGGGGCCATTACCCGGCCTCGACTGAGACCAGTCTATGAATATTTAATGACCTATTAAGGAACTACTCATGCAGTAGGCTGCCATAGAGGTCCTACAAATGCTCACAACCCTCAGAATTCCTAACAAGCCCTTCTAAGACTTTCCAACACAGTCTTACTCCTTGCTGAGCTCTTCCAGGCCTCACGTCCCCACCCTGCTGGGCTACAGGGCAACACAACTCGCCCCAGCTCCGACCAGCGTCGTCCCAACAACAAACCTTGGCTGTCCCTTGGGATGCCCACCCCAAAGCATCCCCATATCTCTCTACCAGGCCTCACGCTCCTGCATCAGCAGGTTACAGGGCAACACCCAGCACGGGCCAGCGTAGTTTTGGCATCGAACAGCCGCAGATCACTGAGTATAACCGCTTCAAAACCGCCTAGGATGGGTTGCCAAGAGTCCCTAGAGTCCTAAGACATTCATAAGAACCACCTACAGATCAGATAGGTGAAACCTATTCAATCCACATACGACCACCGCTAGCATGACTGTTTTCAGCACGAACCGAAGCTCTTCCAGGCCTCATGCTCCCATCAGGTTAGGTAACCGAGTTGCACCACCTTGCTCCAGCACCGGTCAGCGCTGCTCCAGTTACGACCCCCGATGACCACTGAGACTGCCCCCGCACACAGCCCCCCAGAGCTCTCTACCAGGCCTCACGCCCCCACTAAGCTAGGTCACAGAGTTGCGCCACCTGGCTCCGGCTCCGGCCCCGGCCAGCGTTGCTCCAGCATCGGTCTTCGAGGGCCACCGAATTTTCAACCACCCTTCGCAGGATCACAGATGGATTGTCAGACTGCACCTATTCCTACAACCTCCTCGAGCGGCAAACCAAATGAAAAGAAATAGTGAACTTAATCTACATGATAGACTTATTCAAGAAAGATCGCCCCACCCTCCCCCTACCCCTCCCCCCTCAGCTCTACACTGCCTCCGCCGAGGTGAGTCACCCACTCTCCCTCGGCCCCAATATAGGACCAACCCTCTACCCCCCTTTTCCCAGGAGCACACAGTTCCCACCTAAAGCATGCCCCCCCAGCCCCTTGCCCATTTCTGCCTCCGCCAGGACTGATATTGACCCACACACCAGCCCCTACCCCAGAATAGGGCAACCCCCTACTCCGCCCCTACCTTCTTTAAGACATTCACCCCCCGCCTTGTGCCCCTGCAAGATAGAGTTCCCCCCTCCCCCTTCCTACCGTTTAACCCTCTGGGAACGATCCAATCGGAAATTTCTGATGAAGAAAGGTAGACGACTTTTTTTTGGATTTTGCTGATGACGACGAAAAGCACCCTAAAAATGATGATAATGAGGATGATGGTGATGACCAACTCACCTGCTGATGTGGACGGCAAACAATGCCTTGAAGAGCAAACATCTAATGATGACAAGCTGACGATGATGCTGATGATGATGGTAGTGATGAGAATGAAACCGAATGATGCTGCCGACCCTATGATTACAAAAAGATGATGATAATGATGATACTGATGATGTCGATGTCGATGCTGATGCTGATGCTGATGCTGATGATACACCGCGCCCTGTGATGACAACAAGATGATGATGGTGCTGATGACGAGCACCTTGATGATAACCTAATGCTGCTGCTGCTGATGATGATGATGATGATACACCGCTCCCTATGATGACAACAAGATGATGGTGGTGTTGATGACGAGCACCTTTGATGATAACCTAATGATGATGATGATGATGATGATAAAGATAAGCAGCACCCTATGATGATGAACTTCACCAACCGTGCTCTATGATGGTGAACTATTGATGATGGTAGTACAACGATGAGTAACGAACAACACCCCTGGAGTGAAGACCTACACCTTGATGATGATAACGAGCAGTACCCTGATGATGGTGATGACAAATCTTTACCATGATGATGATGTTGAACTACACCCCGTTGATGATGATGATGATGATGATGATGATGATGATGGTGATGGCGAGCAGCACCCTGATGATGACGAATTGTGCTGCTACCTGCTTCCGTGTCTTTAACCGTCGAGCCAGCTCAAAAGAACACATGAAACCGCCAGCTCTTTTTGACGCTCCAGCTTGTAACCTCCCACTCCGCATGAGAAGCTGCTCCTCACTTTCTGCCCGCACTGCCCAACCGACCTCCACTAGATTCGTGCAGGAACATAGGAGAAGGGCCACTACCACGCCCAAGATCTCATGAAGACTATCCTAATCACCCCGACAGCCTCCCCTTCCTCCAGCGTGTCAACCCGTGACACCACATAAACGAAGCACAGAGCACAAGACCTTTTCAGCCTAGGTTATCAAGGCTGAAAGCACTTCTAGCCGAAGCATCACGTCAATGGTCACGCCAGACAAGACCAATAGAACCTTACGCCATCACCCACATCACCTCCTCGATATTCCTTGTCGGGAGCCATGCCGACAAGGCGCCACCAACTCACAAGCCGGCTCATGTCCATAACGGAGTGTTGAAAGGAGACTTAGTACAATCCATGGTCGATGTCTGTCTGAACTAGGACCCTACAGACGGCCCATGGAACAAAGAACAGTTGATGAAAGTGAGACTTAGTACAGTCTATGGCCGGTGCTGGTAGGGCTCTTGTGTCGGGGGGCCTCTCCACAGGTTTGGTTGGGTTGCCTGCCTCCTATGTTCAGTTCACTATCTACAATAAAAACAAGTACTGATGACAACAGTGTGCACAGCAAACAACCTAACAACAAACAACAGTAACAACAGCAGTGTACACAAAAAAAACGATATGAATGCAAAATAGGTAGGTCCACCTATGGGACTTGTAGTGAAACGCCTGTACCTAGCACCTGAAGTACATGGGCGACAAGGCTCGCACAAATATGCTTCGATCAGGGCTGAGTGGGGTGTGTGGGACTCAGCTTAGCCCTGGTCACGGTTCGGTCAGGTCAACCCCAAGGCTGGAGGGTGACGATCCTGAGTGGTAGACACTGAGGTAGGATAGTGGGAGTAGGAGTGCGCCGGGAGAAATTACGAAAGAGGTAGGTTGGGAGGGAGTCCTATAGGATTAGGGGGCCTCTACCACATGGCCGAGTGCCGAAGGTGACTCTCATATTTCTGTAATCCAGCCTCTACAACAACCTGGGCCTTTTTTTAAGGAAGAAAAAAACAAGGGCACCTTCTTTCAGGGTGCAGGGTATGGGGGTGGCGTCTTTTGATTTTTGATAGAACTAGGGCCTGATCCCACTTCTTATAGGCGAGGCACTTTTTGGTAAACTTTGGGATCCCACCTCTTTCCGCGAGAGCCGGAGGCGGCCCTGTTTTTTTGAGGAAGTGGAAACAGCCAAGTATGTAGCAGTGTGACCTCGAGGCGCCACAAGATAGTGCCGCTCCGTTTGGAAAAGTCCCGCAGAAGTAGGGCATGTGGGATCGCGTTTTTCTTTCACGTTCCGTGCGCTGTGCCTCCACCTTTCGTGGCACGTTCACGTTCGTACGAAAACACAGAGAAGTGGGATCTGCCCCTTAACGGTCCTCAAATCGCGCTCGCACTGCCACGTACTACAGTCTTCCCCCGAATACAACGTACGGTCATTATTGCCGAATTCGGTACATATATCAGTCTAAATTCGGCTATAATGACCGTGCGTTGTATTCGGGGGAATACTGTAGGCTGTTTCCACTTCTTCGAAAAAACAGGGCCACCTCCAGCTCTCGCTGAAAGAGGTGCGATACCAAAATTTACCAAAAAGTGCCTCGCCTATAAGAAGTGGGATCAGGCCCTTAGCCCTTACAGACTGCATTATCGTCATTTGCAGCGCACTAACTTCAGTGCATTCTACACCCTCTAATTTTCCGCCTCCTATCTCCTAGGCGTGCAACTTTCCCCCCCTCCCCTCCCCCCCCCCAACTTAAAATTCACTCTTATTATACAAAGCTGGGAAACGGACTGTGGATGCAACCCTCACAAACAAGGGCGACCCTCTGGAATGGGAGAGGCACTCGGGCCAATTCCAAACCATTGGTCACAGTCTATTGCAC